CTCTCTCTCTCTCTCTCTTTCTCTCTCTCTCTCTTTAAGCAAGGGTGTTTTATTCTCAGCTGAACTCCTGTGTGTGAAGAAAAACAGTTTGGTGTCTCACTGTTCTCTCAAGTCGAGCATGAATATGCTTAAGATATTCCTAATATTCTGGGACATTCCCTGATCAGAAGGTCCAAAAGATGACCTGGTTGCTTAGAAAAAAAAAAAAAAAGCAAACAAGGGGAGAAATAGCGTTATTTGGATAGCAGAGATGTCTGTTTTATTTGGAAATAGTCCATTAATCTGTTAGGCTCGTAAGGATGGGTTTGTCTCCAACTGAGAAGTCGTGTCGTGGTGGTCCAGTGACATGAACTGTTACAGCCAACGCTTTCCCTTCCCTCAGGGGAAATTGCTAGCAAAAGCAGGCCACTGTTAAGGGTGGCCACCCCATCACTGACAGAGGCTGGAAAAGGACGCCTTTCCCCAAACTATTCACTACATTTCCAATGGTGTCTAAAACACATTTGGGTAGTTGTTTCTTGGACCATAAAGGCCTTCTGCTCATTGATTTTAAAAAAATCTACTTTTAAAGTATAAATGTCCCAGGGATCAATGACTCATTAAGTATTTCATTCTATTTTAACTTGACCACTGGCTGATAGTGCACTGATACTGGGCTGTCATCCTCCGCTCCAGTAAGGGATATCCCCTTCTTACATCCAGTTCTATACTTTCCAGGGGCAGCTGCCAGGCAGAGGACTCTCTCCCCACTCCGCTTTTCCTCTACCCTGCCACCCAGTGGAGGTGCCTGACCTAGGATTATCCATCCATCATCCCGCAGTCCAGGCCACACAGGGATATCAGCAATGGGTATCCCAACTGAAGCCAGATAGCCGTCTCCTCAACTGGAACTGCTAGGGAAATGTTTGCTTTCTTCTTATCAGAGGTGATGAGTGCAGCTCTTCTGCTGCTTACAGTCAGCTTCTACCCTCTACTGACACCTAACTTAAGACTGAGAAGACTCAGTGCCGAAAGAAGCGGAGATGAATGATAAAGTGTGCCCCAAGGGTGCCTGAGACTCCACTGCATTAGCTAACACTCTTCTCTTGGAGTTGTTTCCAAGAATCCCAGGTCATCCTTTCTTCTTAAGCTCTTAGGCCCGGGGCATCCTCCACTTGGTCTGAGAACCCTAAACAAACATCTTACAAAAAAGACCCCAAGAAAACTGGGGAGGACATAGTAGTGTAAGTCTAAAAATGTGTGTGTGTGTGTGTGTGTGTGTGTGTGTGTGTGTGTGTGAGAGAGAGAGAGAGAGAGAGAGAGAGGGAGAGAGAGAGAGAATTGATCTCTTACATATAAGCCATTGTGTACTAAGCGTTCCCGGATATCCTTTCACACAACGTTGAAGCGATTCTGAGGCATGGCAAGGCAACCTGGTATTTGCGAATGCCAAGTAATATTAATCTGGGACCACCATGAACTTGACAATTCTTCTCTTAGACTGTGGAGTTCAGGGTAAGGCTTCGCAGTAGGGACTGACTGATGAGTTAGAACATGCAAATATTGACTTAAGAAGGAGTGGAGAGGTGGCTCAGAGGTTAAGAGCACTTACTGAGCGTCCAGGGAACCTGGGTTTGATCAGGTTTGGTTCCCAGCACCTATAAGGCAGCTCAGCACAGCCTAGAATTCCAGTTCCAGGGGATCAGGCACCTGCAGGTTCCCAAAGATATGTGGTACATACATTCGTACAGGCTCACACACATCCACATAAATACAATAAATCAATCTGAAGAAAAGAATCAGAGACAGTCCAGTGATTCGGTTTCCTCACCAAATAAGACAAGCAACTTGCCCGACCACAATAGGCTTACGATGGCTGCTAAATTTTTATTTATTTTTTAAATCAGTGTATCAAATAAAAAGGGTTACCTTTATATTCCCTTCCCTTCAATATTATTAAAATTTTGACCTATCAGAGTATTCAAGAGGTGCTCACTTCAGAAGCATGCAGACTAAAGCTGAAACTGTACGTGGAAGATTAGCATGGCCCTGCATGAGGATAGTATACAAAGTTCATGGAAGACCCCACAAGCATGGAAGACGTGCTTTGTTTGAAAACGTCATCATGATGTCTAACAACTTAAATGCTAATTAAAAACAAATAATTAAAAATAAACTGTCCAAGAACTCAATTTATTACTAAAGGGCACAAAGTACCATTTTAACCAAAACAGAAAGATCTGGAAGTAGACAGCTTACAGTAGCACTTCGGCAATAGGTTTACCAAGCAGCTGAAAGGTGACAAGTTTTTGTCACGTGAGATGGAGCCATTCCTTCCGTGTTCTACCATGACTGATAGCTTCTTCGACATGACCATTGGAACTCTGGGACAATGTCGAGTAAAGACTGTTAAGCTGAGGACATTCTCTAAATGATTTTGTAAGGATTTGTGTTGGTCAAAAGATAATTTAAAAGACTCCTTTCTAGCTATTTTGATGAAAAAGAAAATAGTTGCCCTTTGACATGTGTTCCAAGGTGACGTTGTGACATATCAGTTGCATTCTGGGAAATTGATTTCGGAATTGAAACTGAAAACCAGCCAGGTGGTAGTGGCCCACAACTTTAATCCCAGCACGGGTGAGGTAGAGGTAGTAGGGTCTCTCAGTTCAGGTCAACCTGGTCTACGGGGCGAGTTCCAGGACACAGAGAAATCCTGTCTCGAAAAATCAAAAGTAGAAAACCAAATTCATAACAAAAACTTTACCATGCAGTCAGGATGCTGGGAGTGTCCCCTTTTGTGAAGCTGCCGCATCGCCCACAGCTTCCTCCTCCGTTTCTTCCCAAGTTGCTCCTCTTTTGCCAGCGTTAATTATGAGTAAGAAAGGAAGCCAGAGTAAGAGCAATGACACGCTCCTGGCCTGGCAGGGAGGGCACACAGCAAATAAAGACCCCTGGGGACCAGAGCTTAGCCTGAGATCAAGGGTCAGAAAATGAGCAACTGTATACCAGTGAGAAAATGTTCTTGGTCTGTCAAAGCCAAGAAGTGCACCTGCTTTAGGAAACGATGCTACCTCCCCAAGATTGCTTGCTCCTTTCTAACCCAGAACTGAGTTGGTCACCATCTCTGACCTTCTTTTGTTCTACTGGAGTCTAGCTGTACACTTGACAGTTGTTCTGAGAAGAAACATACAAGGAATTCTCAGTAAACAGCTTAGCATATACTATTGAACACTTCCTTGAATTATTGCTAATGAAGACAACTTGAGGGGTTTTATTTTGTCCCCCACCATGTGTTTATAACTTCTATAGTTGTTTTATTTTATTTTTTTTATAAATCAATGTAAAGCCAGGCATGGTAGTCCATGCCTCCTCCATAGCATCTGAAGGCTCAAAAGTTCAAAGCTAACTTGGACTTTGTAATGAGACTTCCCTCCCCCCGTCTCAGATATCACCACCACAGAACCCTTTACCAGCGAATGCAGAAGGACCTGAATTTGGAGCCTTACCACCCACATAAAAAGCTGAGCCAAGTGGCACATGTCTGCAACCCCTCAAACTTGCTGGCCAGCCAGCGTAGGTGAAACCGTGATTTTGGTTTTGGTGAGAGACCCTGTCTCAAAAAACAAGGAGGGAAACAATAGAGAAAAGCTCTTGAGATCAACCTTTGGCTGTCACATGCACCTGGACATGCACATATGCCCACACATCTATATAGTTGTTAAGATCATTCCAAATTACCCAAGATTTCATTCCCAAGTACCATTCCTTGTTTCTGGCTTCATTCATCTGCTGGTAAGAAAAGAATGTGTTCATTTCTTATGCCCATCTTGGCCGGGTCCTACTCTAGAGACCAAGGCCTTGAAGTGCCCTGTCCTTCTCATGCCCTGCCCTTCCCTTTCTGCCACCCAGTTTAGCCAGTGACGTTTCTCAGACGCTTGTCAGCCCAGCTCTCTGCATACGGAGACATCCTCTCTGCAACTGCTGATTCATTAGCTCTGTCAAAAGATCAAAGGAAATCCAGCCTGGAGTTCATAGATCCTGGGCTGCCTCAACTCACATGTTGTCTAACTGGGCCAGACCAGCATCTAGGCCAGGACACTACCAGGCACAGGACCTAGCATTTGTTTTTGCTGCCATTCAATCTGCATGCAATGCATCACCCAGAAAGAGGAGCCAATGTGCGCTTGTACGGGGTAATGATACTGACCTCTAGGGCAAGGCCTTCCTTCACAGAGTGTCTTTATCTTCTCCTTGAGTTCCAGGACAGTAATGGCAGCCTCTTGCTTAGCTATTGCCAAGTCAGTCTGTAGCTTTTTCACTGTCTTTTTGTGCTTTAGTTTCTTAGGAAAAAAAAATTAAGAATTTCCTGTCACTGGAGATGGCAGATGCCTCAAAGAAATAAAGGGAATTAATGGTGTCTGGGCAAGCCTTGCTTCTGAAGTTCTGATTAGCATAAACACGTCCTTCATCTAAGCCCACTTTCTCCATCAACATCTCTTTTTACTTTCTTGACAGGGAGGGGGTTCATCTGGATCTATAACCCACCTATGGTTTGGATGCTTTGAATAGAAGACAATTAGAAAAATGCTATTTGTCATTTAGCATTTACTACCAGGATGCTAATGCCCCCCAGTAACAGGTTTCTACCCCAACTTGTAGGCAGATCCATGAGAGACAACCAGAGCCCTCATTAGGAGCCTTCTCTCCTCTGACATTTGAATTTTATCTGCATTCAAATAAACTCTGGAATGCACATTGCTACCAGGAAGAGCAGAAATGTAGACGGTTGCAGATACTTATTGTGGCGTGTGTAGAGGGAACATGGTCAGGTCTAAACCTTCCTGAGAACTCTACTGGGAAGTATTTACACAACGGAAGGATTCACAATGAGCCTTTATGGATCTCAAAGTGGATTTGATTTGTCAGAGGTGGCCTCATCTGCAGAGTTGGAGCCAGTTTGTTAGAACAAGTGCCGTTTTCGCACGTTCGTGTTGCTTTTGGGTAGCTGCCTTCCCCCTGGAGAGCTCCCCTTGCCAAGTCTTTGTGGCTGATAATTAAGAAGCCCAGAGAATGAACAAAAAACAGTGCTTGTCAGACACAAATCTTGAGATAGGGAAAGGAATGCTCACTAGGAAAGAACCTACTCTTGTCTGGCCTCTGAAGGGTGTGCACTCAGGCGCCAGGGAGTCAGTCTCTTGGTATAAAAAGCCAGTGAGCTCAGTCGAACATAGGGTTAGAGAGATACAGATTTCAGGTTCTAAAGATGGGTGGTGAGGTAAGGGATGCAGCTCAGTGGGAAAGCAGATACATGAACGCAAGGGTTCCCTAGCTAGCATGGAAAAGCAAAATCAAGAGTAGATTGCCAAGCTTGGCACAGTCCCCCATGCCTGCAACCCCAGCAATCCCTGGAAAATGAAGGCAGGGGCAGCAACAGGGTCAAGGTTATTCTTAGCTACACATCAGAGATCAAAGTTGGGGTGGAGCTACAGGAACCCATCACTTGGGAAATCAAAAACAGAGATGGACTGTCTTTCAGACTTAACACACGATGCAGACACCATAAAATCTTAACTAACAGCATCACAATAGGTAAAAGCAAAGAACAACTCAAAGGAATGGTAGGTAGCAAAGGGGTCTTTCTCTAGGGAATCGGAGAGCTGGCATATGGCAGGGCTTGCCCTTGGCAGTCCGCAGCCCAGGCACCCTGACTTCTCAGCAGCCTTCCTCATCTCATTATGACACACTGCCTAATTATCAGGAACTGCACTGGGCTGGCTGGCTGCTGAAATCAAGACCAGTCCAGCCTGTAGTTTCTCCCCTCCTTCTGAGTGTCCAGTCACTAAAACTATTCATGATTCACCTTGGGAAACAGATTGGTTCCGGAAGAGACTGCGCTGAACAGGGAGTGTGTCAGGAAACACGCTCACAGTTAGTTTTTAAATTGTCAGGAAGATTGCTATCTCCTCTCAGGAGCTAGCTTGAGCCAGTTTGTCCCTAAAGACCTTGCCCACCCGAGGCCCGCAGCAATGGTGTCTGGAGGCACTGCGTTCCTGCTCCTTTCCCCGTTGCTCTCTTAAGAGTATTCCCCACTCAGGTTTTCACCATGCCTTTACAGCTTAGAACGCTGGGGACAGAAGAAAATGGACACGAACCGTGAAGAAGTGGGGAGAACGAAGAGATGTCCAACAAGAGGGGAAAAGAAGAGAAACGATGGAAAAGAAGAAGAAACACGATTAAAGAGGGGCGTGGCAAAGCACCCAGGACAAGATGGACTGATGGGGCTGGCCACACTGACATGCACAGAACAGCAGAGCGAATGATGAACTGGTAGAGAAACAGACATGAGCCACACTGAGGGGCCAAGTGAGAGCTCTGTATGCTTGGGGTTAAAAGAAAAATGTCAAGGATGGATTAAGAATTGAGAATTTAACTTTCCTCATGATTCTTTTTTTTTTAACCTTTCCTTTTCTGAAACAAGGCTTTGTTGTGTATTTCAGGGTGGCTTTAAACTTGAGATCTCACTTCCTTATAGACGTGTGAACACTGAAAATTCTTAATAGTCTATATTCACTTTCTTAAACCACGTTAAAACTGTTTAAAGGTAAGTATTTTTCTAGAAACTTTTCTTAAAGTAGGCATTGCTCATAGGCAAACAAAAAATCATAAACCAAGGTAACCTGTGAGAGTTAGTGAGCTATAACCAGGAGCTGACATGATATTCCTCTGTTAGAAAAGTCACACTGATATTTTGAGAAGGCTGCAGAATGCAGGAACCCAAGGTGTAGACAAAGTGCATCTCAATAGCAACTTAGACTTCCAACCTCCCCGCCTCCTTCGGTTTTATTTTTATTTCTTGGTGTTTGAATTCAGATTCTTGAATGCACTAAGAATTCAGCCACCTCTAAGCTCTGCCCCCCTAACCCCTCAACTATTCATTCAAGATATTTTACTTTAACAATACACAACTTCAAGACTCTATTGTTTTTCTCTTATGGAGGTTACGTGTCAACCTTTTCATATTATTATAACATTTGTCTGCTCGCCTTATGACCTAATAGGGAAGTTGAGGCTGTTTTGTTTGGAGACAGCGGTATCCAAGGGCAGTCATGACAGTTGACTCCAGCTATCGGAGGGACTATTGGAGGGGAGAGGAAGCTGAGTCAAACCGTGTTGTTCTAGAGATACCATGAAGAACAATGGGGAGAAAACATGAGGAGGCAGGTCTTGGCAGGACATGAGAAAACACTCCCCAACAATCCGAGCTGCCTCTATAAGATAGGATGGGTCCTGGCGAGGACCTGCCGCACTGGGAATGATCAAGTAGAGACAGGAGGAATATCTTCAGGCAGGCCCACGGTAATTCTGGAAGCTGGGTCAAGAGGTATTTCTGGGTTTGGCTCACCCCACAGCTCTTTCCATCTCTGGCCCCTCCCACTCACAGAAAGGGCACAGAGCAGATGCGAAGAGCCCAGCCTCTGAAGCCTGGGGGGCTATTGGAGTCGCCAGGGACATTTTAAAGACAATTCTGGTTATTTGGGAGAAATTGGATAAGAAGGCCTGCGCTTCTTTTCGAGTGTGAGGATGATGGGACCCAAAACATTAATTTTGTTATTTAGCTGCCGAAACAAAGGTTAAGGGGAGTTAAATTTACAATAAAAATCGAACAATAACAACCACAAAAAAAAATCTAGATTGGTTGCCTAGGTTTTGGTTGTATTTAGAATAGTTTAACATCCTCGCCTTTTTCCCCTCCATCTCCAGACAGAACGGCCTTGAGTTACTAATTCATAGATTTAACGAAGCCCTTTGGGCAGTTCGAAAAATTCACTTTGCCAACGTGTTTTATTAGTCAGGGACATCAAATGATTTCAACAATGATAATATTTTCCTTTGCTTTTCTTGGCATTCACTAGCCAGGCAACCCAAGCTTTGTACTTGAACCTAATGGAGTCTGTTGTGGTCTCCCTAGTAACCAGGGACTCTCTTTAGTCATCACCAAAAGGATAAGAAGGCTTCTATTGCTTGGAGCTAAATTCCTACTACTTTGCTGCTTTCCTATTTCTCCCAAAGAGTGGAAAGAGGGAGGAAATCATGCATTTGTGCAATGTTTTGAAAAGGAAATATTTATCTGTATCATATTGCTGAATGGTTTGCCTTATAACAAGTCAAGAAATAGCCGGGGAATTATTTATAGGGGAGTTTCGACACAGAGTTGTCAGTGGTATTTTCAATGTCTGGGTGTTTCTACATCATTTGAATGGAGGCCTCGTACTATGCAGCTGGACCTTGTCACTCAGTGGTCATGAGAAACTGGGCCGGCCACATGTCATTGACAAGCTCCATCCCTACTGTGCTGATCAAATGATGTAGTGTGTAGATGGGCACTCTACTCATTGTTTGCAATGATGTCTGTTTTTATCATTCTCCCTTGAAACATGTAGGACACATGTTCGCCCTTCACAAACACACAACCACGTCTTTGTAAAAGGTGTCCTTTTCATCCTTTATAACAGGTGAATCTGTCCTTATTTGGAAGTGAGACTTTCCTCTTTATAATTTTCTGCATGGCTGCCTTGATTTCCTTATGGATAGACAAAATTTACCTTGAATGCCCTGAAAATAGACATGTAAATGACTTGATCCTCTCTTCAGCCAGTGTTGGCCTGATGCCAGGGTGAAGCCAGCAGCTGCCTGTGTGAAAGGAGCTGAGGAGTGTTCTAAGGGTCTAGTCCATGTTCCCAGGGCAACACACTTGTTTCTATGACAACGGATATTTTCCCCATGTTTGAAACCTGCCTGGCTCATCCCACCTTCATTTTTTTATATCCCAAAGATGAAAGTGTTGTCTACAGTTGACCACTAATAACATGCTCACTGCCAAGGGTGTAGGATGGAATCGGATTTGAATGCAGGGCCACATTTCTCCTCTCACTCCTTTCTCAGTTAAAAAAGCAGTGAAAGTATAGTAGTGCTTGGCTTAAAAGTCAACTGTGCCTCTTCTCGTGTGTCTTTACTCATCATGGCCCCGGGAGACCATGTCAAAGTCTAGGGATAGCAACCAAGTGCCCTTTGTATGGTTCTTCCCAACCCATGCAGGCCATGTTTAGAGACTCTTTTATGCCTCCTTGCAAACATTCCCTCCAGTGTGGTGATATTTCACTTGTATTTTAATAAATAAAGCTTGTTTGAAGTTCAGAAAGTTAAACAGCCACACTGGTCAGCCTGACAGACTAGCCAGTGGGGACACACAGCTTTAATCCCAGTAGCCACACTAGTTGTCATAGAAACAGGGCAGTAGTGGTGCACGCCCTTAATCCCAGCCCTAGAGAGGAATGTAAGA